ATATTGAACCATCCGTGTGCCCCTAGAATGAATGAACCCCATTTGATCATGATTTATTATTATTTTTAATGTACTGTTGTATTTAATTTGTTCGTATTTTGTTTAGAATTTTTGCATCTATATTCATCAGAGATACTGCTCTGTAGTTTTCTTTTTTTGTGTTATCCTTGTCAGATTTTAGGATTAGGGTTATGCTGGCCTCATATAATGTGTTAGGAAGCATTGCCTCTTCTTCAATTTTTAGAAGAGTTTGAGAAGGATAGGTTTCAAATCTTTGAATGTTTGTCAGAATTCACTAGTGAAGCCATTTGGTCCTGGACTTTTATTTTTGGGGAGTTTTTCAATGGTTGTTTCAATTTCTTCAGTGCTGATTAGTCTATTTAGATTTTCCAGTTCTTTCTGGTTCAGTCTAGGAAGGTTATATATTTCTAGAAACTTATTATTTCTTCTAGGTGGTTGAATTTGGTGGCATACAATCTTTCTTAGTATTCTAGTGTGATCATTTGTATACCTGTGATGTCTCTTTTATTTCTAATTTTGTTTGAATCTTTTCTTTTTTCCTTAGTGAGTCTAGCCAGGGGGTTACTAATTTTATTAATATTTTCAAAGAACCAGCTCTTTGCTATATTTTTTGTATAGTCTTTTTGTTCTCTGTATCATTCAATTCTGCTCTAAATCTTATTATTTATTTTCTCCTGCTGATTTTGGGTTGCCTCTATATATCTTTTTTGTCTCTATATATCTTATGATCTCACCTTTTATTTCTTCTTTGACCAGTCATTTTTAGTAGTATGTTGTTTAATCTCCACATATTTGTGGGTTTCTTTACTTCCTTTTTGCAGTTGATTTGTAATTTCAAGGCACTGTGGTTAGACAATAAGCTTAGCATCATTTCAATCTTCTTGAATTTGTTGAGGCTAGTTTTGTGAACCAACATATGGTCTGTCCCTAAGAATGTTCCATGTGCACTGGAGAATAAGGTACAATCTGTTATTCTGGATAAAAGGCTCTGTAAATGTCAATTATGTCCATGTAGTCTAATGTGTTATTTAGGGTTATTTTTTATTGATTTTATGTTTGGATGATCTATCTAAAGCTGTCAATAGAGTATTAAGGTCCCTAACTATGATTGTGTTTTGGTTGGTTTCCCCTTTAGTTCTCTGAGTAATTGCTTTAAATATTTCAGTGTCTCTGACTGGGTGCATATATATTGAGAAGTGTTATGTCTTGATGTAGTCCCCTTTATCATTATAAAATATTCATCTTTGTCTCTTGTTACCTTTATCTTGAAATCTATTTTGTCAGATATAAGTATGGATATACTTGTTTTTTTATGGGTGTTATTTGCTTGGAGAATTATTTTCCACCCTTTCACTTTGAATCGACTTTTGTCTTTGCAGCTTAGGTGTGTCTCCTGAAGGTAGCATACGGTTCAGTTTTGTTATTTCATCCTATTTGCTACTCTGTGATTCTTTATTGGTGAATTCAGTCTATTTACATTTAGGATAATTATTGATGTATGAGGATTTCCTATACCCATTTTATCTTTTGTTTTCTGGTAGCTCTATGCCTCCATTGGTTATTTTCCTTCATGTTTCTGTGTGTTATTTTTGTTTGGTGGTATTCCAAACTTATTTCCTCTTTTTCTATGCTAAATGTCTCAGTTTTGGTGCGTGTGTGTGTGTGTGTGTGTGTGTGTGTGTGTTTATTAGATTTATGAAAAAGAAAGTTTTATAACTTTTTCTTTTGAATATATCTGGCCTCCATCCTTTGCCAATTCAGACCATTCCTCCTTCCCCTCCTTTTATGTTTTGGTTGTCACAAATTATCTCTTTATGCTGTAAGTTTGTTGGTGACCTTATTCAGAGATTTGTGATCTTCTGTTTTTTATTTCAGGTAGAATGACCTCCTTGAGTATTTCCTGAAATGGAGGTCTTCTGGTGATGAATTCCTTCAACTTCTGTATGTCTGGAAAAGTCTTTATTTCTCCTTCATATTTAAAAGATAACTTTGTAGGATATATTATTCTTAGCTGGTAATTTCTCTTTTTCAGTAGGTTAAATATTTGATTCTACTCTCTTCTGGCTTATAGAGTTTCTGCTGAGAAGTCCAATGATAACCCAATGGGTTTTCCTTTATAGGTTACTTTCTTTTTCTCCCTGACTACTTTGAGGATCCTTTCTCTGTCATTAATTTTGGAGACTTTTAATACTATGTGCTCTGGAGAAGGCCTTTTTTGCATGGAGGTAACTAGGTGTTCTGTTTGCTTCTTGAATTCAAGGATCCAGTTTTTCCCATAGATTTGGGAAGTTTTCATCCACTACTTGTTTGAATAGGCTCTCTGCTCTCTTCTCCCTCTTTTCTTTTTCTGGTATGCCTATTAGTTATAAATTACTCTTTCTGATGGAGTCAAATAGTTCTCATAGAGTTCTTTCTATTTTATGTCCAAGTCTCTCTCTTCTTCCCTCTGCATGTTTTCTAGATTTCTACCTTCAATATCACTGATCCTTTCCTCCATTTGATTTGCTCTGTTTCCTATGCTCACTAGTTCATTCTTCATCTCTTTAGGTGAATTCTTCATCTCCAGGATTTATGTTTGGTTCTTTTCTAAAGTTTCAATCTCTTTGGTGAAGCAATTGTTTTGTTTTTTGTTTTGTGAGCTTGCTAAATTGCCTGTCTGTATTTTCTCACATCTCGTTGAGTATTTTCAGAACTGCAATTTTGAATTTTCTGTCATTTAGGTTACATATTTCTATGTCCCTCAGTTTCTTTTCTGGAGACTTTTCATTTTCTTGAGCTGTCTCATTACCTTGGTTATTCATGGTATTTGATGTACTTTCTTCTCTGTCTAGGCATTAATGTGTAGATTATACTTTTCTAGCAGATTAACACAAAGAGGTCTTTCTACTACTTTCCAGTAGGTGGCGCTGAATCACAAGTTGGTTTTGTTTTGTTTTGTTTTTTAGCCCTGTGAGATCCCAGCACTGCCTCTCATGGCCTCTGTGGTCAGTGTGGCCACCATGCATCAGGGTCCAAGCGGGCTGAAGGATCCCTCCAGGTTCTTTGTTGTATTGTGCTCAGTAATGGCAGCCTCAACCTCCCTGGGATCCCCCTGTGTTCTAGTCACAAAGTGTACCCTTTGCTCAGGGAAAAATGTGATTCTGCAGTATTAAATCTTAGGCGTGTGTTCTCCAGCATACAGTTAATGTGGTCCACAACCTGACATAAAGGGCAAAGTGAGGCAATCTCAGGAAGGTTAATCTCAGAAGGCAGCCAGGCTTTGTGGCTTTGTTTCACTGTCTGCATTGCCAGCCGCCAGAAGACAACCTTGGCCGCTCTCTGGAGCTACGTTCTTGGCCAGTACTCTGGGCTCAGCCACAGCTAGTGATACTCACTGCTGCAGGAGTGCCCACCAAGTCTCTCCAATCCTCCTGGCTGAAGGGGTGTCAGCGACAACCACATTCCTCCCCTCCCTGAGCTGAGTGCTGAGTGAGCTCCTGGCTGCCCAGCTGCACTTCTGGCTCATATGAGCCCCACTCCTTTTTCACCTCCACCTTTGGATTCACTTGCCCACCTTTAGATGTTTCAATGCACAGATCTCTCAGGCGTATCTGTGCATTGAGCAGGGAATCCTTTGTTGAGATAGGGCTGTGCAGATTATTGTAACTCATAGGGGAGAGACCAAGGGAATCTCTCATGTTGCCATTCTCTATTCTAACTTTTTTTTTTATCCTCACCCAAGGACATTTTTTTTTTAATCCTCACCTGAGGACATTTTTCCATTTTTTTGTTCAGATAGAGTGGGAGGGAGAAAGAGAGACACATCGATGTGAAAGGGACACATCGAGTACCTGCCACCCACACAACCCCAACCAGGGCCAGGGACAAACTGCAGCCAAGGCACGTGCCCTTAGCAGGAACTGAACCCGGGACTCTAAGGTCCAAGGCCTAAGCTATAACCACTGAGCCAAACTGGCCACGGCCATTCTAACAACTCTTAAATTTATGTTTCCAGTTCATATGTCAGACTAGAGTAAGAATAAATTTAAGGGAACCACTCAGAGAGTTTAACATGTTCCTGGATTTTGGATACACAGAGAAATGTATCGAACCCATGCCTGAAACAGTCCATAAAAGAGTAAGAGGCTGTGGGTGGAGCTGCGCAAGCACAGTAGAACGAAATGAGGGAGGCTATGTTGAAAATGACCTGCATGTTCACAGATGGGGGGGGCAACGATGCCTGCTGTCTGGGGACCAAACACGGATCCTTTGACAGAAGGCAAGCTGGCACCATTTTTAAAAGCTCCAAATGAAAGGACCCAACCAGATAAATTTCATGGGGTATAGGAGGACAGGCATTGACTCCACCAAGAGAATTGAAGTCGAGATTCTCAGCTGAAGGGTCTCTGAAAATACACATGGAAAAGGGTCATGGGGTAAAGAACCAACAACTGTGCATTTACCTGGTCCTGATGGATCAACTCCAGATGACCCTCTTGCCCTTCCTTATGGGACTGTGTTCTTTTATTCTGTTTCCTACTCCCCCTGAGCCCTCCTTTGGTGAGAGAGAGGTAAAAGGACCATCATGCTCTCTCTACCAGCACAGGCTTCCAGCAGCAGGGGAGGGGGAAAGTCTTATAAAGTTGGAGTCTGGGTTATTACAATGAACTGAATTTTCAATGACTGACATGAGAATGTTCTTGATACTATTATCGGACTGGGAAAGTAATGGAGCTTGCCTAAGACTTTACTGGGATGGGAAGAAGAGAGTCACAGAGTAAGTTTAATAAGGAGTGGTAAGAAAAAATAAAGTGTGGGTTCAGATCCTTCAGTAAATCAGTGACATCTGTTAGAATTTTAATTTCTGTTAAAACAGGGTAAGTAGATTACTTTTTTCTAAGGGGAACAATGAAGAAAGCACGACTCTGTACAGAACACTGAGTGCCAAAGGGACATTCTGTCCTGGTCTAAGATCTCCTATGAAGATTCAGATGTCCTACCTTATGATTCCAGTGCAGGTACAGTTCATACCCTTCCCAAACCAACAAAAATCCAAGTATCTGACAAAGCAAAGAAGAAAAAGGAGGTTATTTTGAAATCACCAAGTTGTGGCCCACAGCACTGTTCTGTGTTCAAATGCCTTTCACTACATTCACTTCTTGCTATCCTTGTGCTTTTCAACCGCTGGGAGCTTGCCACGCTGTTCCTCTGTCTGAGAAGCTCTCCCTCCCCATGCCGCTGACCTTTCAAAGCCAGTTCGTATGTCACCTCTTATTTGTAACCTGTACCAGCACCCCCAGGAAGAATTAATTATTATTTTCTCTGGAATTTCATAACAAACCACCACACTGATATCCTTCCTGAGTTCCTACCAATTCCTTTTCCCTGGGATGGACCTTATTCCTCGTATTACCATTTGTCAGAGAACAGAGGTCAGAGGCCAGGTCTTCCCAGGGTCATTTTAAGGCTTTCTGTTTTTTTTATCTTCACCCGAGGATATTTTTCCATTTTTTTACAGATAGAGTGGGAGGGGGAGAGAGAGAGAAACATCGACGTGAAGGGACACATCGAGTGGCTGCCACCCGCACAACCATCCAGGGCCAGGGACAAACTGCAACCGAAGTACGTGCCCTTAGCGGGAACCGAACCTGGGTCTCTCTGGACCGCAGGCCGACGCTCTAACCGCTGAGCCAAACTGGCCAGGGCAAGGCTTTCTTTTTTTTTTTTTACCCTCACCCGAGGACATTTTTCCATTTTTTGTTCAGATAGAGTGGGAGGGAGAGAGAGGAACAGAGAGAGAGAGAGAAACATCGATGTGAAAGGAACACATCGAGTGGCTGCCACCCACACGACCGACCAGGGCCGGGGACAAACTGCAACTGAGGTACGCGCCCTTAGCGGGAACCGAACCCGGGTCTCTCAGGACCGCAGGCCGACACTCTAACCGCTGAGCCAAACCGGCCAGGGCTTAAGGCTCTTTCTTAAAGAACAAGTGTCATGTTACAATTGTTAACCACTGTTGCTAACACTGGTATTTAGTCAATAAATCTTAGGTTTCAATATAAATCTAGCCAGTCACCAAGTCAGTGTAGAGATAGAAACTGAAAACTGGAGTCCTCAAATGCTCGGGATATTACTAAGAGTGGGAATATATATGGCACTTACCTTTTTATCAAAATAATTTTATGGCCCTGGCCGGTTTGGCTCAGCGGTTAGAGCGTCAGCCTGCGGTCCTGAGAGACCCGGGTTCGGTTCCCGCTAAGGGCGCGTACCTCGGTTGACCACTCGATGTGTTCCTTTCACGTCGATGTTTCTCTCTCTCTCTCTCTGTTCCTCTCTCTCCCTCCCACTCTACCTGAACAAAAAAATGGAAAAGTGTCCTCGGGTGAGGATAAAAAATAATAATAATAATAATTTTATGTATATGATTTCATTTCTTCTTTATCCAGCCCTATAAGATACCATTATATTAAATATTATCACTCTCATTTCAAAGAGAAGAAACTGAGGCCCTGGCCGGTTTGGCTCAGCGGTTAGAACGTTGGCATGCGGTCCGGAGAGACCCGGGTTCGGTTCCCGCTAAGGGCACATGCTTTGGTTGCAGTTTGTCCCCGGCCCTGGATGGTCGTGCGGGTGGCAGCCACTCGATGTGTCCCTTCACGTCGGTGTTTCTCTTTCTCTCTCCCTTCCTCTCTCTCCCTCCCACTCTATCTGTACAAAAAATGGAAAAATATCCTCGGGTGAGGATAAAAAAAAAAAAAAAAAAAAAAGAGAGAAGAAACTGAGTCTCAGAAGAGTTACATGACTTGACCAAAGTTACAAAGTAACCCAAAGATAGAGCAGGGAACAGAACCTAGGGTTCCCTCTTTGTTCACTGATATATCTATTTTATGCATCCAAAAAGGGTAGGATAGAGTAGGATTTGTTTAAATATGCTCATTATTTGACAGTAGAACTCATGCCTGCCTCAGAAGCTAACACAATAAACAGCATTTCACGCTTGTGTATGAAAGCAGTACAATTCAGTGGCCAGTCTGCCCCAGACCACATCACTCATCTGCATTTTCCCCATTATAAAGAGAAGTATCTAACTGGTCTCCCTGCCTATAGTCACTCTCCACACCACAACTACCAGGGTAATTTTCCTAAAATAGAAATCTGATTTATGCCAAATGTCTTAGAGTTACTTTCCAGACCTTCCAAAAGCTGTCACAGGCCTATGTCTTCATCGTGCCCTTCATGCTAACAGAACTGACCTTTCCCTCTTACGTTGTCACACCCCAAATTTTTCTATCTCGCCAACTTTGTCATGATGTTCTCGCAGCCTGGAGTGTTCTCCACCCCTGTATACTCACATCCAAATCCAACACTCACTCAGGATCCCTCTCCAGTGCAGACTCTCCCAAGAAGCTTTACTTAATCCTCTTTGCAGAAGCACCTCTTCCTTCTCAGATCCATGCAGAACTTTACTTAGGTCTCTCTGATGACAATTATAATGTTCTGTATGTGTTAGTTATTTTTCTCTATGATTAAGGTGCAATTCCAAACTCACTGAATTACGATATTACAGTTTATCTTTTATACCTACCTTTCTGAAGTGCCCTACAAAAAACCAGAAACTGTTTGTTTTGTTGACCTCTGTATACGTAGTACTTATCACACACATTATGATTAATATATTTTATTGAGAGAAAAAAAATGAATGCAAATGGCAACTGATTTGGAGGTTGGGTTCTTTTGTATCAGATAGTAAATCAGTGGGGACAAGGAACTGTGAAATAAGAGAAGGATGTATATACCCTATGTACAAATGAGCACTGAAAAACTCCAATTTCCTAAAAGTTGTGTAACAAAATACCAATCATATTGATCAGCTTAAAACTAGGTCTGCTCCCTTAAGTCAGATTGGTGATTAATGCCACCTTGAGTAATTTTACAGAGACAGCACTGCACCTGTGCCACCCCAGCCCTCAAGACTGAGGAATGTTTAAAGAAAAAGGAAGGCCCTGGCCGGTTTGGCTCAGCGGTTAGAGTGTCAGCCTGCGGTCCAGAGAGACCCGGGTTCGGTTCCCGCTAAGGGCACGTACCTTGATTGCAGTTTGTCACCAACCCTGGTTTGGTCGTGCGGGTGGCAGCCACTCGATGTGTCCCTTTCATGTCGATGTTTCTCTCTCGCTCTCTGTTCCTCTTTCTCCCTCCCACGCTATCTGAACAAAAAATGGAAAAAATGTCCTCGGGTGAGGATAAAAAAAAAAAAAAAAAAAAAGAAAGAAAGAAAGAAAGAAAGAAAGAAAAAGGAAGACTGAAACCAGACACTAACAAAGTTCTTTGTGTCTTACACGGAGACCAAATTAGACTGGACTGAAACCAGACACTAATAAATTGGATACTAACCAAATGTTTAAGTATATTACAGAAAAAAACAACAGAAAACTGTTTTCCAGTCCCTCTGCAGAGACCAGCTGAAACTGGCAGACACTGGCTCAGACAAGCTGGGCTTACTGGAGTCTGTGCAGGGAACTCTTGAAACTTACCCTTTACTTTTCTACAAAACTCTGCCAGATTGGAAATCCTCTGTGCTTTCCTTTGCCTCTCTCATATCCATACCCTGTATGCCTAAATCTCAAAATTATGCAATTGAACCCTTCCAAGAATAAGCTTATGAATATGTATAACCTCTTCTTATTCTCATCTCTCAAAACTTGTCTCAGCTCTTTCTTCCAGGAGAGTGATTTGAGCCTTGCCTCCAGTCTCCTTGTGTAGCTGCCTCACAGTAAATCCTCTCTCTCTACAAAAGACCACTGCCTCTAGGTTTGGTTTTTCAGTTGCCTGGCAGGAAATGAACCCACTTACTCAAATCACTTACAGTTGTCCTCCCATAAACTTTCCACTTCCACAGACCTTGCTCTTGCCCAGCCTGAATTTCTCCCACTACATGACACTACTATATAACAACAGAGGCAAGGTGGCTATTGCCAAAAGACTTTTGCTAAAATGTAATTTGCATCTGAACCAGCAGACTAGCATTTGTACTTTATAATAGGTTTAAAAACTAGCTAATTTGTAAGGCCCAAAATGACTGGTTCTCGGGAGAGGGGTTATGAAATGAGTTAGTTCAATATGTAAAGGTACTGCTAATGTGAAGCTACAAGTGCCTAAAATAACAGCATTGAGTGAACCATAAAATAGGCTATAAAACAGGGGAATAGAAAAAGGATGTTCTGCCACCCTTTCAAAGGATCAAAGTGATAAGATGCATCCTCTAATAGCACAAGTCCATTCTTCTCCACCAATCCCTTGTGCCTAAAATTCAAGCAGTTGATGTAAACCCCAACTCTAGTTAGACAAGAGTGAGTGGTGTTAGGTTCTGAGGGCTCCCAGCACCACTAGGCACCATATACCACAAACAGGAGCACCTCATGAGGCTATTCAGGAAGGGAGTGGAAGAAATGGGGAACATTACTCACCACCAGCAACGAAGTGTAGGCAAAGAGGATTCCAAATAAACTCAGCAAAAGAAGAGACCAGAAGTACCAGTATCCTGTAACTAGATAAACAACCCTGCAAAAACGTGTTTCAATCCTTAGAATATAGTAGAAAGTAGTGGCATTTAAGATTAAACTAGATGAGGCATAAAACAGCAGAGGGAGAGTAGAAGAGAAGCATTTTGGGAACATATCCGTGAAGAGCTTTGGGGATATTCAGTTAGGAGTTTTAACTTTATCCTATAGGCAATTGGGTACTTTAATGGAGGTCTGTATGAGTGGTATGGTTTCTAAATGTTATTTAGAATATATACTCAAAAATTATGTCCTCTTTAGAAAGCAATAGAATAATACAGAAAGTCTGAAATGAGAGAACAAGTCATCCATAAGTTCACCACCTTAATAAAACTAGTACTTTTCATTTTGGCAGGTTCCTTCTCCATGCGCCTGTATGTTTTCTCACATAACTGCAATCGTGGCCACCACATTAATTGCTATATTCTGTGTAAGAGATTCGGGCTGTTAAAACAGTCCTGATGTGTTCTTTTCCAAAGGTAGTTTATGAGAGAAAACTAGTAATGATTTGCTAAAAGAAACAGTGTTATACTTGGTCTAGATATCATTTGTCAAAAAATTTAGACTCTTCATTTCAAGATAACAGAAATTACCTCTTCTCCATATTAAACCCAGAGAAATTATATTTTAACGATATAACATATAAATTAGTGAACATATAACCACATTAAAATAAGAAAGGCAATTCTCTTTGGGCAGGCATAAAAGATACACCAAGAAGAAAGAAATAGACAAGCAGCCATCCTAACGAGAGTTATTCCAGATCAAGTCACTGGTGACAGTACTCTGTAGATGAGTCTACAACCAGGAATCAGAAAACATGTAAGGAATGTCAACAAATGAACTGAATAAAGTCAATAAATAAAATAACTTGCACCCAACTCTATATCATTAATAGAATCATCAGAAAAGAACCACAAAATAAAAATATGTAAGATATTCAGAGAAAGAAAGGAAGGATGCACATTCATGTAACAGAAATAGGGTATTTTAACACAATCATGGTGATTATCAAAACAATAAAACAGATATCTTGAAAAAGACCATGAAAGATGAACTTAATAACACTCTAGATACAGCCAAAAAATTAACAGTTTAAGCAAGTTTTGATATTGACTTTGTTTTCCGAGTGATAATGGAAAATAAGGTATGCCGTTTAATAGTGCCTCTACCTTTTCTAATAATTTCTCTGGCCACATTAAATGTTTTCACTTCTTCCTACCTAAAAGGTCTCCTTTTTTTAAAATTCAGTCACATGGAAATGTTATTATTAGTTCAGCTCAAAACTCACTCACCAAACTCAGAAAAAGTGTTCACCCACCTGCTATGCACTACAGGCAAAGTTATAACTGGTTTCTCTCTCTCTCTCTCTCATTTCATCTCTCCTTTTTCTACTTCATCTGCACTTATTCTTGGTGGCAGTGGTGGTATAACAAAAAGGAGTACGAAGAATGAAAAAGAGTTTGTTTAAGTAAATGCATATACATCAGTGGGAATTTAAGAAGAGTCTTTCTCAGCTATCCCTTCTTTAAACTGGGAACACACAACTGCTGATGGCTGTACAATGGGCTCGCTCTACATATTTTTCAAGCAATTTTCTCCCTGCTCTTGGTCCCTATTTTACATTCATCTAGCAGCATGATCACAACCCCTCATTGGATGAAGACCTTCTCATTTAACCAAGACAGTCTTCTTGGGGCAACGTTCACCAGGACTTCCCTCCTTCTCATAGCTAAAAGATCCAGCTGTCCTGCATCTTCTCCTAATACATACCCTACATACCACAGTGCTTTATATCAGAACAATGGGCAGCTGACAGTAACTCTGAGAAAGAAAAGACATGCTAGAGAAGCACTGGGAACTTCCACATAGCAAGGAATGGGGAGAAAGTTAACTCCACACACTCTTGGGGAGAAAAAGAGAAGTTAAAGTAAACCCACCAAAAATCTGCTCTACGTCTCTCTAGCTAGGGAGAACAACTTCAAAAACTGGACAATATGTTTTTTAAAAAATCTAAGTGAAGGCATCAGAGAATCAACAGGCAGTGAGCAACTATGGAGCCAAGGTCCAAATAAGAGAGGAAATCCAAAGATATAACTAACTTGGCATTTGGAGTGACTTTTCTCCAGAAGAAGTGGCTGAGATACAGGGAGAAGGGTTTCCTGCATCGTGCAGCAGCAGGAGGGAAAAAGAGAAGAAGTATAATCTGGTCAACACTATACACTTTGATTTGGGATCTTCCAGGGCTACATCCTAGAAGCACAAACTGGAAATAGAGTGCTTTTGGAAAATGAATCCTACCTTTCACCCAAGGATGTAACATTGGGTTAAGGTGAAAAGGATTTGCTAATACCTCTAGTTACCTGTCAGAGTAACTCTCTAAGGGGACATAATATAATTCAAGGTCTCAAATGACTTATATGATATTTTATATACAATGCCTGGTACTCAAGCAAAAACAATCAGACACACTAGGAGAGGAGACCACATTGTTGAAAGCCAAAATTAAAAATGGATAACATGCCCTGGCCAGTTTGGCTCAGCGGTTAGAGCATCGGCCTGTGGTCCTGAGAGACCCGGGTTCGGTTCCCGCTAGGGGCATGTACCTCGGTTGCGGTTTGTCCCCGGCCCTGGTCGGTTGTGCAGGTGGCAGCCACTTGATGTGTTCCTTTCACATCGATGTTTCTCTCTCTCTCTCTGTTCCTCTCTCTCCCTCTCACTCTACCTGAACAAAAAATGAAAAAAAGTCCTCGGGTGAGGATAAAAAAATAAAAAAATAAATAAATAAATAAAAATGGATAACATAAAAAAGTTTTCAGCAAATCTGGATAATAGAGATATCAGATACAGATTTCTAAATAACTATCCTTAAAATGCCCTGGCTGGGTAGCTTAGTTGGTTAGCGTGTTGTCCCGATACACAAGGTTGCGGGTTTGATCTCTGGTCAAGGCATACACAAGAAGCAACCAATGAATGCATATATAAAGTGGAACAACAAATCAATGTTTAGCTCTCTCTCTCTCCCTTCCCTCCTTTCTCTTTAATCAATAAATAAAAGTTTTTAAAATGTTCAGACTGGGACAAAATTCGAATTTCAGTATAGAAATATTAAGGACAGGATCAATTAAGAATTTTAGAGGGGAGCCTTGGCCGGTTTGGCTCAGCGGTTAGAGCGTCGGCCTGCAGTCCTGAGAGACCCAGGTTCGGTTCCCGCTAGGGGCGCAAACCTCGGTTGCTGTTTGTCCCCGGCCCTGGTGGGTCATGTGGGTGGCAGCCACTCGATGTGTTCCTTTCACATCGATGTTTCTCTCTCTCTCTCTGTTCCTCTCTCTTCCTCCCACTCTACCTGAACAAAAAATGGAAAAATGTCCTCGGGTGAGGATAAATAATAATAATAATAATAATAATAATTTTAGAGGGGAAAATATAGCAATAACTATTAAGAACTCAGTAAATGGATTTAATAGCAGAGAAGACAAAGCCAAATAAAATTTGTTAAAACAAGGTAAAAAAAATCAAGAATAAAACAAAAGAGAAAAATACAAAAGAAAATCTAAGACACTTAGGGGATAAAGAGAATAGGTCTAATATACATAAAGTTGATGTCTCAAAAGTAGAGGCAATAGAAAATATAGTAAAATCAATATGTGAAAAGATAATGGCTGAGAACTTTTCCAAAATGATTAAAAATATTATATTGGTCTGAGATCACTCAAAAATAAATTTATTGTAGAGATTAGACTTTATGCTATTATTGAAACTGCTAAAGAAGGCTATGTAAGGTTGCTACATCTATTCTGATAGTCGGCCTAAAGTTGCCAGAAGTCAGACAGGCCAGAAGTTGGGAAAGAAAACTGAACACAACATATGAAAGAAATAAAACTCATGAAAAGAAACTGAACCCACAGGGACAAAATGAAACCCATGAGGACAGACTGGAACCCGTGAGGACACACAGAAAACATGGAACCTGAGTCTATCGCTGTGTCAAGAGTTTAGCTCAGGTACTCCATGGTATTACTGCCTTGGCAACCATTTTGCTTGGGCCAGTGTCCTGCAGGGACCTTAAACTGACACTAGCCCCCTCAGGGAAGTGTGAGCCCTAACTAGCAGCTAACAGAGTCAGAAGCAAATTGTAAGTTCCTGATATGACTTGTGATCAACAAACAGTCTCCCCTGCTTCCCAGAGCCTGTACTCCTTCTGTACCCTAGATAAGACCCCCATGGGAATAAACAAAACCCTGCTCTTTTCATTTGAATTGACCAGTTGGGTCCTAGCCCAGGAGCCCAGAAGCACTACACCCATGGCCCATAACAAAGGCATGTGCCCCAGGTCCTCTCTCTCTCTCTAAGTAATCTGCTTAGATCTCCCTGTGTGGCTCCTTGAGGCCTGCCGTGTACTTTGTCCAGTATCTATGAGTCCTATGAGTGGTAAACTTCTCTATTTCAATTTCTCTTGTGGTTTGCTGTTGAAATTCCACTCACCATCACTGTAGCATGGAATCACCATCCGGGTACGTACGGCTGTTACATTTATTCTGATATGTGAATGCTGGGTAAAGTTTATAGCTTTAATTTAAGTACTACTATATAAGATTAAATACTATTAACACATTTTATTTTCAATGGTAGAGGAATACAAGAAAAATTCACATGCATATCCATATATATGACTAAAATATGTACATTTATACTGACAGAATTCTGGGCCCTATGATCTTTGTCCTCTGGTGTCACACCAGAGATAATTCCACGTTAAATGGTAAAAGAAAATTTACAGATATAATTAAAGTTACTAATCACCTGACTTTAAAATAGGGAGATTATCCTGGATTATCTGAGTGAATCCAATGTTAATCATATAAACTCTTACAATCAGAAAAGAAGGTCAGCGGGATGAGAAAAAAGAAGTCAAAGAAATCTGAAGTATGAGAACTTCACCCACAGTTGCCACCTCTGAAGACAAAGAAGGCCACAAGCTAAGGAGTGTATGCATTGGCCTCTAGAAGTTGAACAACTCCCATCTGACAAGCACTAAAGAAAAGGTACTTTATTCTTACCACCAGAACAAACTGGATTTGACCAAGAACTTGAATCAACCTGGAAGTGGATTCCCACTCAGAGCATACAGGTAAAAGTTCAGTCCAGCCAGCACCTTGATTTCAACCTTACGAGATCCTAAGTAGATTACCCAACCAAGCATGCCTGACTTCTGACCTATAAGACTATGAGATAATAAATGGGTATTGTTGTAGGCCACGCAGTTTGCAATCATTTGTTTTGGCAGCAATGGAAAACTATCTGTGAAACTTACTTGTGGCTTTAGGACCTGCTGGAGCTCACTCATATAAATACAACATCTATTTGATGATGGAGTACTGCTATGGAAATTCTGCCTGCTGCTGAGTGTGTTTATTCAAACTATGCATTCCTGAACTAGAGAAATAACCAAAGGTGGGTTTGGAGACCCACTAGACCCACTGTAGTGATGGGCCTGAGCCCAAACTCCACTGATTACCTAATATCCAAAACCCCTACTCTAACTGGTGAATCCCTATATCTCCAGAAATTTCTGTCAGTTCAGAGTCAGAGTCCAGTAATTTC